CCGCTAAATTGCACCCTGCGGTCGAGCTGATTCGGCTCTTGGTGTACCTCGGGTCGGCTGCATTGCCGAACGCTACGCGTGGATCTCCTCTCCTTTATTTAGTGTCCCGCCGGCCCGCCCTCTACCTTGAGGATCGCGGTCGCTTTGCCTCCGTCGTCGCCGAACCCCTCGGTCTCAGTCGCGACAGCTCAAGCGTTGTACTCCTCCTGTTCCAGAGCCCTTCGATAGCGACATGTGGATGCTGGTGGCGCTGGGCGCCGTGCACATCGCCGCCATCGCCATCTTTGTGTTCGAGTGGGTCACCCCGGCGGGCTACGACAGGGAGGTGAGTCATAACCTGACATTACGTCCCCGGCCGCTCCCGCCGCCCCCAAGGCCGCTTTATGCGACCGTTATACCACCCCCGTATATCACGGCACTCTTGCGGGCTCCTGCTGCTCCCTCTCCGTTTCCGCTTCCGCCTTTTGTTCGCACCCCCCCCCTCTTACGAGCCTCTTTTTAGGTTAAATCTTTCAGAATGTTCCGATCCAACTTTGTTCCGCTTTGCCCCTGATTTGCTTTTAAATATATTTATTCTGCTTATCTCTGTTTGACTTTTGTTTATCTCGTTTTACTTCCTGTTCCACTTCCACTTTTCTTTACGCGCGCCTCCCGCCCATGCCTTTCCGGTCTTTGTGCACGTCACTCTTCGCAGCCAATGGGGGGGGGGGGCGGCCTTTCTGTACAAGTGCGCGACTTTTCCCCGAAGCTCCCTCATTTTTTCCCCCCAAACCCAGTTCTTCTTTTTACACGGAGGCGTGCTTCCGATTCAGGACCCTATTGCGCCGTGGTAATCCCCTTCGAGGGGTGTCGAGGGGCGCCAGCCCGGGGTGGAGGGGGCCAGGGGGACCCCTGAGGGGGTGGGCAATGAGGTAAGGGCCTGTCAGCCTGTTCGGGGAGCTCCGTACCTTCGGCACGGTTCCTACGGCTCCTGCCGCCTTGCTGCCGCGCGAATCCTGGACCCAACCTCCTCCAGACGATACGGACGGCGACATCCCACCAGATTGCTGGATTGCTGCTGTCGCCGCGCGCCCCGACAACTCCCCCCCCCCATTTTCCGTTTTTGCTTCTTTTCAGTCCGATCGAAGTCGTCGCCTTCCCCCTTTCTTTTTTTTCTCGTCTCCACGCGTCATACACATACACACTTGTAGTTCCGCACCTTCCGCGTGTGACTTGTTGGCGTGTACAGCAGCGCACACGTAACCACGTAACCGGACTACGCTGAGGCGCCGCGTGTGACGTCATCGAGACGGCGGGCGGCAGCACGGGCGTGCAGGGCGTACACAGGGCTCCTACAAAGAGGAGCGCGCGAAGGGCGCGAAGCCCCGCGCAGCCACGCTAACGAGCCTCCGTATCCCTCGCTCCCCCTCCAACAAGCGGATCATTTTGGTCTCAGCGCCGACATTATCCCCAGGTTTCCTGCGCACTACTTAACGCTGCTCTCTTCTGCTCTCTCTCTCTCTCTCTCTCTCTCTCTCTCTCTCTCTCTCTCCCTCTCTCCCTCTCAGTCAGTCCAGTGGCGTGGCTGAGAGACAAGAGGGCGCGGGGGCGTGCG